TGCGTTCTCTCGGGGGGCACTTACCCCAGGGCACCACAGCCCTCTCTGGGCTTCTTCCTTACCCATTACCCAAGGGCACCACAGCCCTCTCTGGGCCCAAGGGCACCACGCCATTTCTGGGCTTCCTCACCAAAGGGCACCACAGCCCTCTCCAGAGAGCTTCCTTACCCAAGACCACCACAGCCCTCTCCCTACCCAAGGGCAGTTTTGCCTGGGTTTTCCTTACCCAAGGGCACCACAGCCCTCTCTGGGCCAAGGGCAACCCAGCTTTTTTTGGGCTTCCTTATGATGGGCAGCCCTGGCCCTCTTGGTCAAACGGCACAGCCCTCTCTGGGCCGCTTTGCCCAAGGGCACCACAGCCCTCTCTGGGCCTCAGGGCACCACAGCCCTTTCTGGGCTTCCTTCCCAAGCAGCCCTCTCTGGGCTTCTTTACCCAAGGGCACCACAGCCCTTTCTGGGCCCAAGGGCACCACAGCCCTCTATGGGTAAGAAGGGCACTACCTATCTCTCTGGGCCTAAGGGCAAAAAGGCCTTCACTTTGGGCTTCCTTACCCAAGCAGCCCTCTCTGGGCTTCCTTACCCAAGGGCACCACAGCCTTCTTTGGGCCCAAGGGCACCACAGCCCTCTCCGGGCTTCCTTACCCAAGAGCACCACAGCCCTCCTCTGGGCTTCCTTACCCAAGAGCACCACAGCCCTATCTGGGCCCAAGGGCACCACAGCCCTCTCTGGTCTTCCTTACTCAAGGGCACCACAGCCCTCTCTGGGCCCAAGGGCACCACAGCCTTCTCTGGGCTTTCTACCCACGGGCACCACAGCCCAGCCCTCTCTGGGCTTCCTTACCCCAGCAGCCTTCTCTGGGCTTCTTTACCCAAGGGCATCACAATCCTTTCTGGGCCCAAGGGCACCACAGCCCTCTCTGGGCTTCCTCACCCAAGGGCACCACAACCCTCTCTGGGCCCAGCCCTCTCTGGGCTTCCGTCCCCAAGGGCACCACAGCCCTCTCTGGGCCCAAGGGCACCACAGCCCTCTCTGGGCTTCCTTACCCAAGACCACACAGGAGAAGCCTTTCACTCTATTTCTGGCTTCACTTGCACCCACGAGAAGACCTAATCTCGCGCCCTTGCGTGTTGAGGGCCCTTTGGCCTTGGGAGGTGCTTCGGGGCTCCTAGCCAGCCAGGTCTATGAGTGCGTTTTTTCGGGGGGCACTTACCCAAGGGCACCACAGCCCTCTCTGGGCTTCTTCCTTACCCATTACCCAAGGGCACCACAGCCCTCTCTGGGCCCAAGGGCACCACAGCCATTTCTGGGCTTCCTCACCCAAGGGCACCACAGCCCTCTCCAGAGAGCTTCCTTACCCAAGACCACCACAGCCCTCTCCCTACCCAAGGCCACTGCAGTTTTGTCTGGGTTTCCTTACCCAAGGGCACCACAGCCCTCTCTGGGCCCAAGGGCAACCCAGCCCTTTCTGGGCTTCCTTATGCATGGGCGGCCCTGGCCCTCTTTGGGCCAAACGGCACAGCCCTCTCTGGGCCGCTTTGCCCAAGGGCACCACAGCCCTCTCTGGGCTTCAGGGCACCACAGCCCTTTCTGGGCTTCCTTCCGGAGCAGCCTTCTCTGGGCTTCTTTACCCAAGGGCACCACAGCCCTTTCTGGGCCCAAGGGCACCACAGCCCTCTCTGGGCTTCTTACCCAACACAGCCCTCTTTGGGCCCAAGGGCACCACCGCCCTCTCCGGGCTTCCTTACCCAAGAGCACCACAGCCCTTTCTGGGTCCAAGGGCACCACAGCCCTCTCTGGGCTTCCTTACCCAAGAGCACCACAGCCCCCGCGGCCCTCTCTGGTCTTCCTTACTCAAGGGCACCACAGCCCTCTCTGGGCCCAAGGGCACTACAGCCTTCTCTGGGCTTTCTACCCAAGGGCACCACAGCCCTCTCTTGGCTCAAGGGCACCACAGCCCTCTCTGGGCTTCCTTACCCAAGCAGCCCTCTCTGGGCTTCTTTACCCAACGGCACCACAGTCCTTTCTGGGCCCAAGGGCACCACAGCCCTCTCTGGGCTTCCTCACCCAAGGGCACCACCACGCTCTCTGGGCCCAAGGGCACCACGGCCCTCTCTTGCTTACGCAAGGGCACCACAGCCCTCTCTGGGCCTAAGGCCACCACAGCTTTCTCTGGGCTTTCTTCCCCAAGCGGCCCTCTCTGGGTTTCCTTTCCTAAGGGCACCACAGCCCTCTCTGGGTCCAACGGCACCACAGCCCTCTCTGGGCTTCCTTCCTGAAGGGCACCACAGCCCTCTCTGGGCTTCCGTACCCAAGGGCACCACAGCCCTCTCTGGGCCCAAGGGCACCACAGCCCTCTCTGGGCTTCCTTACCCAAGACCACACAGGAGAAGCCTTTCACTTTATTTCTGGCTTCACTTGCACCCACGAGAAGACATAATCTCGCGCCCTTAAGCGAATGAATCTCATACATAAGCACGCATAAATATTCCAATATTCAACAAATATTATGTGGGAAATGATAATCGTAATTATATGGAGAAGTCCTAAGGAAATCACGATTTCGTCAATTACAATAGCTAATAGTAGGCTTCCTTAGCCAGGGCCACACCAGCCCTCTCTGGGCTTCCTTACCCAAGGGCCCCACAGCTAAGGGCACCACAGCCCTCTCTGGGCTTTTTTTCAAAAAGTTGCATGCTTTGGGAGTCCTGTACCACCCCACCTTTCCTATCCCTCCAACCCTAAGATTTCAGGGCACCTTAACCCGTTCGTATGGTAGGAGTGCCTATCGAGAGCCCTGCGTGCACCCTTTATGCTCTGGGATTCATTCTGTGTGGTCATCGCAATACTCGGATGCTCTGGGCTTCATTCTCTATGGCCAGTGCAGTACTCGGATGCTCTGGGCTTGGTTCTGCGCGGCCAGTGCAGTATTCGGATGCTCTGGGCTTCATTCTGTGTGGCCAGCGCGGTACTCGGATGTTTTGGGCTTCATTCTGTGTGGCCAGTGCAGTCTTCGGATGCTTTGGGCTTCATTCTGTGTGTCCAGTGCAGTACTCGGCTGCTCTGGGCTGTACTCGGATGCTCTTCGTTGTGCATGGCCGGTGCAGTACTCGAGTGCCCTGGGCTTCATTCTGTGTGGCCATCGCAATACTCGGATGCTCTGGGCTTCATTCTGTATGGCCAGTGCACGGATGCTCTGGGCTTGGTTCTGCGCGGCCGGTGCAGTATTCGGATGCTCTGGGCTTCATTTTCTGTGTGGCCAGCGCAGTACTCGGATGTCCTGGGCTTCATTCTGTGTGGCCAGTGCAGTACTCGGAGGGTCTTCCCCAGCCCACAGAGAGCGCCTTGCTGCTCTCTCAGAGGCTTTCAGAGACTCACTAAGCTGCTCCAAGAGGGGTCTTGGCAGTGGGCTACAGCCCTCTCAGAGCCTTTCAGAGGGTCTTCCCCAGCCCTAAGCAGATGCTGGAAACGGCAAAGAAGCAGGTCAAACGATTCCTGGCACGGGAGCAGGCTTTGGGCGACGAGAGCAAGGTGGTGAAAGCCTTTCATTTGGACCCTGGAGAGGTCTCTCAGAGGCTCTAAGAGCTTTTCTCAGAGGGTCTAAGAAGGGGGAGCAAGGTGGTGAAGGCCTTTCATTTGGTCTCTGGAGAGCTCTCGCTGAGGCTCTAAGAGCCTCTCTCAGAGGCTCTAAGAAGGGTTCCCAGCCCACAGAGCATCTTGTCTGCTCTCTCAGAGGCTCTAAGAGGGGTCTTGGCAGTGCTCGGAGCCTCTAAGACGGTCTTCCCCAGCCCACAGAGGAGCTTTTGCTGCTTTCTCAGAGGCTTTAAGAGCCTCTCTCAGAGGCTTTAAGAGGGGTCTTGGCACTGGGCTACAGCTCTCTCAGAGCCTCCAAGAGGGTCTTCCCCAGCCCACAGAGGAGCTTTTGCTTCTTTCTCAGAGGCTCTGAAGGGTGCTGGTGAGATTTTCCCCAGCCCACAGAGGCTCTTTGTCTGCTCTCTCAGAGGTTTACGAGTGGGCTACAGCCCTCTAAGAGCCTGCAAGAGGGTCTTCCGTGCGGCCAGTGCAGTACTCGGATGCTCTTCGTTGTGCATGGCCATGGCAGTACTCGGATTTCCTGGGCTTGGTTCTGTGTGGCCAGTGCAGTACTCGGCTGCTCTGGGCTTGGTTCTGTGTGGCCAGTGCAGTACTGGGATGCTCTCGGCTCCATTCTGTGTGGCCAGTGCCGTTCTCGGATGCTCTGGGCTTCATCCTGTGTGGCCAGTGCAGTACTCGGATGCTCTTGGCTTGGTTCTGTGTGGCCAGTGCAGTACTTGGATGCTCTTCGTTGTGCATGGCCAGGGCAATACTTGGATGCTCTGGGCTGCATCCTGTGGGGCCAGTGCAGTACTCGGATGCTCTGGGCTTCATTCTGTGTGGCCAGTGCGGTACTCGGATGGTCCGGGCTTCATTCTGTGTGGACAGTGCAGTACTCGGATGCTCTGGGCTTCGTTCTGTGTGGCCAGGGCCTTGGATTTATCGCTTCCATACATGGCGAGCTATCAGACTGGATTGTCCGTCATGTCTGTCTACGGCGTCTGAGCCTTTCAGTTGCATGTTCTGACATGGGAGCTTCAGAGGAGCGGACGGGCGGCCGTGTTCCGTGCGTCTCCGTCTGGCCTTCAGCGCACCTCCGCGGTTCGCGTGTTCTTTCTTGTGCTTGATCTTCTTCTGAGCCGAAAGCGTGCTGCGGAATCGCGGGGGAGGGGGGGTGCGCGGTGGTGGGGCGGTCTTTTTCTTTAGGTCTTGCATGTAGGCAGGCAGGTGTCGGGGCGCAAGGGTTCCATTACTTGTGCGTGTTCATCTCAAGTGTTCAGCTTCGATCTTTGGTGGCTGTTGATGTGCATGCGGGCTTTTGCTCTCCGGGCGGTAGCGGCAGCGGATTGTCTGTACAGCGCTTGGCCTCTCGTCTTCCGGCTCTCTCCCAGCAATCTTCGGTGGGGTGACACTTGCTAGAGCCCGGCTCTCAGTGGTGTTTGCATTGGCTTGGCTCGCTGTGCTGCATGTCTTCGTTGTGCACTTCCTGTGTGCCGTCTTTTGCTCGCGCCGCCGCGTCTCGATGTTTGGGGGCACGGTTGTTCTTTTCCATGACGGTGCTTGCTCTTTCTGTCGTTGTTGCTGCTGTGGGACTCGCAGTCTGAGGAGTCCCTCGTGCTCGTACTGCTTGCCTGTTCTCTTGAGCCGCACTTTGGTTGGCTGTGACAATGGCTTCCACTGCGCCGAGGAAGGCGTGTTGCCATGCGTCCATCCTCGTGTCCGTGGCGGTCTCTGGTTGCGGTAGCGCCTTGCGCAGCCTGGGATCCCGTCGTAGTGCTGCGTCGAAGTGGTGCAGCACGAAGCTGTGCGATCCAATGCGGTCTCTCTGAGGTACGAGTCGGAGTAGCTGTCGAACGGCGAACAGCCAGTCCTCCCAGGCGCGCTTGCTGATGGACTCGTCTTCCGGCCGGGGTAAGAGGCGCTGGAATGGGTCGTGAAGGTGGACTGGCGTGGCATGTGCCTGGAACAAGCGATGGAGTGCTGTCTGGCGATGCCGTACGCGCGCCTCCCATGGGTGATCTTGGCTTTCCGGCTTGCTGAGCTGCTCGATCTTGTGCTTCATCCGAGTTATGATGACGATGGCGTGGAGCCGCTCGAGGAAGGCCTCGACCCATGCGGTGCTTTCCAGTTCCGGCGATTCAGTCTTGGGCATGTCTTGTTTCAGGTACTCGTCTTCGTCCTGGAAGCTGTCGGCATATGCCGTGTTGAGGGCTTCTTGTA